CCGGACTGAGCTGAACTCAAACGTGACGAGACATGACAGTACAATTGGTCGTAGAAAACGCGCTCACAGAGTTTGGAAACACAGGACAGTAGAGATATCGGACGGTAGTTTGATGCTTCGTGGCGGGACCCTTTCTTGTAGATCGGTATAACATTAGCTGTTTTCCATGCAGAGGGAAAACGACCAGTGCGGAATGATAGGTTGAAAATCAGACATAAGGGGTATGCTATTGAGGGCGCAAGGGACTTTAATACCAGATTAGTGATGCCGTCTGGGCCTGGCGCCTTGTCAGACGGGAGCTTTCGAATGTAACTTCGGATGGCAGCAGTCGTAGTAAAGACAGATGTGAGGCGGTCAGCCTCACCCGACTCCTCGGCAATGGGGGGAATGGGGGGAATGGGTAGAGAAGGGTCATCAGGCACGGCCACTGAGGCGAACTGAGAGTTCAATGCAGTGGCTTTAGCTGAAGAGGTAGTAGCCTGCTGTGTAGAACTAATGGTGAGTGTCGGGATGTCACGAGATACTTTATGATTTTTTAATTTGCTCACGAACTGAAACAGTGATGGGCGGTTTTTGTCCTGCAGCGTAGCTTGTACGGACCGAATGTATCCCCGGTATTTCGATCGAGTCAGACTCTTCACCAAGTTCCGTTGAGATCGATATACATGCATGTTAAGCTGGGTTGGGTATTTCTTACACACACTGTAGAAATCGTGCTTTGCCTTAATGGCGGCACGGAGGGGGGCATCAACCCAAGGTGGCTGACCTAAACGTCGGCATGAGGGGGAGAGTGGACGCCGGGAGAAGTACCCGAGGTGCTTCTCCATGGCCCTGCTAAGAATAGAGTGGAAAGACGAAAGAGCGTCATCCACGTGCGAGCTGCGGAGGTGACATTTCCAGTGGACATCAGCAAGTTCAGCATTCAGGTCATCCCATACGCAACGTGGCACCAACTTGAAATTATAACCTGGGGGTGTAGGGGTAGATGTTGGGAGGAAGTGATGTTGTAGGGTTGGATTTTTGGACGTGACAGGGAGACGGACTCGACAGATGAGCTGCACGTGGTCAGAGCTACCCAGTGGAGCGGCTGAATCAACGGAGAGGAACTGCTGGGGTGAATTTGTGACGATGAGGTCCAAGCAAGATGACCGGCCACTTGGGCTCCAGTGCGTAGGGAAGTTGACCAGTTGCTCTAATCCGAAGCACCTGAAGGCGGTTTCAAGGCACTGACCCACCGGGGTTGTCCGATCACCAGCCAACCAGTTCGAGTTATGGGCATTGAAGTCACCGGTGAGGAGTAGTGTGGATACAGGTAGATCAAGCGACAGAAGGCAGTCTTCCAGACCATCAGAATATGCCTGGATATCCGCCATGGTACCACCAGGAGGTCGGTAGGTGGCGCAGACTACGAGTGGACGTTGGGGTGAGTTGGCTGTGCGAAGCTCAAGCCAGATGGCCTCCAAGCCCGGTTGCTGAAGATTCGCCAGAGGCTTCACCGATGTAAAGGAGCCATCTTTCACCAATATGGCTACCCCACCATAACCTCTGGTAGGATTGGCCGATCGAATATTAGAGGTGGGACGATCCCGTCGATGAACTGTGTAGCCTGCCAATGAGAAGAGGTTGGCAGGGGACAACCATGTTTCACACAAACATAATATAACCTCCGGAGAGTAGATGTTGCACATAACAGTGAGTTCCGCTACTTTGTTGACCACTGAGCGGCAGTTGAGGGAAAGGATGGTAAGGGCAGTATGGATGGGAGGATAAAAGGGACGGGCCAGTGGATTCAGTGTTCCAGTAGTGTTGGGGAAGACAAGGTTACTATTCATTGTGAGAGATATTGTCCGGTGGGCTGGTCAGAATAGAAACGCCATTCCCTCACGGTATGACCCATTGTGTTTGGCCAGAAGGTGTGCCGGAATACAGTATCGGCATCCGTACCCTCGACAGTCACTCTGGCGGAGGCAGTTCGAAAATACTCGGAGGAGTATATTAAGCACTGCACTATTTCAACACCGCGTTCCCTGCACCAGTCTGCTATACTCGCTGCCTCACAACCAAACGGAATATCTCCCAAGTAGAAGACCTTTCGCGGACTGCGGGATGCAGCATTCAGAGACGGAACTGAACCAGGGACATTCTGGTTTGGTTTGGCGTAACGTGATGATACCTGGCGACGGATGGGATTTCTTTGTGGTGCTTCTTCCTTTGCCTGTTTGTTTGCAGGGAGTCCAACCTCTTCTATTTCAGTGGGGTGAGGTTGGATCCGTGTCATCCTCCTGGCTTGACGGCGCTGATTCCTTGACATGACAGGCTGAAAGGATACGTCGTCCTTATCGGCAGTACTAGCACTACTAGAAGTTTCAGCCATGAGCCCATTTGCTAGAACTTGGGCATATGGTCTAGGAACGTCTGGTGTCTTGGCTAGCTGTCCATTCTCTTTTACTGTTGATGCTTTGTCGCTTTGGAGGGATGACGTATGTGAGCATTGAGCTGCTCCAGCCAGATCCATGGTCTTCTGAGTTCTGCAAGGCTGGACTAACACACCACAGCCAACAACGTTCTCCAACTGGTTCACCTTTTCCCGTGTGGATAGTAAATCATTTCGCAAGCTCGTTAGCTCTGCATCTCTGGTTGCTGAAACTGCAGCAAGTTCACGTGTTAGACTGGCGATGCAATCCTGAAGTTTCTCAAGGCAAGGTACCATTGATGGCAGGCACTTCTCACCACAGGCAGGGAATTGGCTGGGCGCCGAACCTGGGGGATAAGTGCCAATACCATTTTCGCGCAGAGTAGCAACCAAGTCTGGGCGTGCTAGGTCACACGAATTAGGTATGTCCTTCTGCTCAGCTAGTTTCTGAAGCTGCGAAAACTCCAGGATCACCAGGTCAATATTGAGATCTAGCGCCATCACGTGACTGACTCTGAACACCACTCCAGCAGGAAGTGTTCGGGCGTTGGCTAGCTCCAGCAACGCCTTCACGCCTGGGACCGACCTCTGTTAGATTTGTATGCGCATCAGTGCACTCGCTATACATGATTGTCTGATGTATTGTTGTAGTTCTTTGTGCATGTTCTTTGTCTACTATGATTGATTGCATGGTCAGCTACCCCGGCGTGGGAACGCAGTCATCCGTGATGTTTCATGATTGTACTATGCATGAAGTACTAGTACGCATGCGTGTTACGCTTCTCGTTGTTCTTCCTTCATTGTGTTTTGCCCCTTTTAGTTGTGTGTTGGAGTCTCCTGTGAGAGATTAGTTTTGATCAGTGCACTTGTTATTGGTTCAGCTTGGCATGTTTTGGTCCTTTTCCATGATAATACATAATAAACGAATTAGCAGTTGCCTTAGTATTTTGAAGGTAACAACCTCGGTAGCGCAGGAGGAAGAAGACACAGCAAGACGAAGCAAACAATGGCCACCGAAAAGCCAAGCCAGCCTCTTTCACGCTGCAATATCGAGGGAAGGAAATAATCCACAGCAATGGCGTGTCCACAACTGGCCGGGTAGTGGTCCACGAAGCCAATATCCAAAACTTCAAATCAAAATCGGCTCTCAATCTGCAGAGAGACACCTCCAATCCAGAGCGATAAAATCTCTAACCGGTCACTTCGGAAGCAAAGTAATTTTAAACTGTTGGGACACATTTCTTCAACGTGAAGGCTGGACGTGATACGTGCTGAACATGTATTGTAATAGACTAATACTCTTGGTAATACGGTACATAAGTCATTGTCATGTAGCTGTTTCGGCTATTTTCGAAACAGCAAAGGGACTACAGTATTACTACTACTAGTACTATACTAGTATTACTGCACTGAAAGTCTGTAGTCTACACTGTACTACAAAAACACAGCAAAGTGACTATTTAATACTAGTATTAGCACTGTAGTCTACACTGTGCTAGTGCTGTTGTCGCTTTGGTGTTCAATCTGACATTTCGAGTCCCAGTTCTATTTATTTCCGAATTTGGGTTTTCTTCGTTTGCTTTGTAATGGTTCTTACTTCACGGTTTCACGCGATTGGTCAATGGTGTTGTGAATAAACCCCGTTTTCAAGTGAAGTACATGACTTGTACATGTAGTACAACCAGGTACATGTAGGTCTCGCCAGCGATATTGGAGCTCGGAATGACTGGCCGTCGCCGAGCCTATTGATGCGAAAGTGTACTACAGACTCAGTACATCAGTAACAGTTACAAAAATTACTACAATGACTATGTTACATGTATGTAACAGTATGTTGAAAGAGTGTGTTGCTCGATACATGGGAGCTTGCGGTTTTCCTGCCGACTTGAATTCTCACTTGACTGACGTACGACTGCCATCCAGAGCACACGAGAAGTCCATCGAACCGTCCACTCAGCAAACCTGCAAGAAAGCACCACTCCCTGCTCAATACACAGTGTTTCGTCGACTTTCGGGGAATTCACCCCTCATCAGTTGAGTAGGCTGATGAAGATTGTGCATGAAGAGCACCACTTATACTGCTCTCCAGGCACAAACATCACCAGGGATACAAACGTACAGAGACGCTCCGTTTCCAGCGCGATAAACACACATCGTGAGCACCAGATAGCAGCGTGAGTCAGTGTAGCTCATGGAGGTGCAGAACAAACGCTGAGGACCGTTGGCCATTCACAACGTTGTTGCCTCCAAACCATCTAATTCGCAAGCCCGCGCTGGTTACAACAACAATGACTATGTTGTTGACCTTTCGACATAGCAGAAGACAAACCCCCGTGTGCTTGACAGGACCTGTCTTGGTGATGCACGTAGTCGTCGGATCGTGAAGTCAAGCTCCGCGGCTCAGCAAACCACACTCCATACTGGCCTGCTGCGCAGTCGACTAGTCCCGGCCCGCAGACACCCAACGTGGGACAATGGATCATAATCCGGACTGAAAACATGGACTACATCAGTACATGAAGGATGCTTTGAAGTCTACCATAAATAGGCATAATGTAACATTACTGTCTTGTTGCTAGATCCATAGTCTCCATACCCGTAGGGTTCGCGACTCGAGTGCACGGATCGGTCGCCTGATCGTTGTTCTCTTTCTCCGCGCTACGAGCAGATACTACTGGAGTGACTAACTTTCCTCAGGCATTTCAGGAGATTTCCTTGATTTTCTGCAGTCAGTTAGTCTTTGCGGTGCCTGACTCCACATTGTGTAAACGCTCTCTCTGTCCTTCGCGATGAGTGCCATCGGAATCGATTTGGGCACGACGTACTCCTGCGTCGGTGTCTTCCAGCGCGGCAAAGTGGAGATCATCGCCAACGACCAGGGCAACCGTACCACGCCTAGCTATGTGGCCTTCAACGATACCGAGCGTCTCATCGGTGACGCAGCCAAGAACCAGGTGGCCATGAACCCGACCAACACCGTCTTCGGTAAGCTGAACTGATTTTTCTGTTGTTGCAGGTCGATACAGAAAGTATTGGAATTTGTATTTGCCCGTTACGAAGTCGACGGTCTTCTAAGTTCTATCACATAATCATGATAATACATGGCAGCTTCTACAACACTTACTAACAATAGTAACATTACTTTCTAGTACTAGGCCAATTAGTTTCGGGTCACTTCACTCATCCGTACTTCACTCATCCGTACTCGGGTCACTTCACTCATCCGTACTCGGGTCACTTCACTCATCCGTACTCGGGTCACTTCACTCATCCGTACTCGTACGAGACCAGCAGGGTCGGTCACGTCAGGTTTACGTCCCAGATAAGACCAAAAAGGAAGGGGGCATGTCACTGAGAGTAGACTACACTGTACAGCAAGTCTGTAGTATAAACAGTTACATGTAGAGGCGACGGTTTCAAATAGGACACAGGTTGCAAACCGGAACGGACTCAATATTCACTTTCTCTCTTGGTATTTTGATTAGAAAACATGTCACAGTGAGACTACGATGTGTTATACATGTACTCTGAGCCAAAATTTCACGGCTCTGCGATGACCAGAAGCGCCATACCAAGCAGGTGAGTTTTTGACGTGTTGCTTTGTACTGCGACTTGAGTTTTACGACTTTAGAAAAATCAACTTCTTGTCGCAGGTAAACAGCGGCTCGCCTCTAGCCAATAAAGCACCGCATACCAATCACAACCAATGGAAGCACACACAAGGCTTATTGCTACTCTGTACTGGCCGTCGTGGAGCGATAGCAATTACCTAATTTCAGACCCAGAGTGAATTTGACGGGCACTCTAAAACATGTCCGGTTTGGAGCCACCTCTGATTTGAAGGGAAAAATTGGGCATGCTGGAGGCAATGGGTAACACAAAGGAGTGGCTCAGTTCGATTGACTCTAGCCTCAGAGCAAACTTCAACATGCCAGTTGCCTTCCGCAAACATATTTCGAGTGAACAATCAACGCTGATGATCGGTTTGGGTCTGTACAAATTTGGCTGTCAAACCGTTCCGGTATCGAACCGTCGCCTCTACATGGCACTTAAGGGGGCAGCCTGGTCGTAAAATCCCTGAAAAATTGAATTTGTAAATTCATATCGAGTGCTACATCAGTTGAAAGAGCATGAACAGCTGCAAAATCTCTGAAAATTTGGTCTCGATCTGACCAGCCGTTCAAGAGTTATGGCCGAAAATGTGCCCTTGCAAGGAAAGATTTTTTTGAAGTTGCATGCTGTCATTTTTTGGCAGCACTGTATTTGAATCTGAGCAGACCGTGCAAAACTTGTCGTATCATGAAAGCACGCGAAAGTGTGCAGAATTTTGCTCCAAGTCCAAAAATCACGTTTTTTTAGCCATGTATTGGGGCTGCACGGCTTTTGCCAGCACCCTCGTGACGTTGCAGATATGTGGCTTGATTATTGTAGTTGACGTTGATTTAGTGACTTTGGCAAGTAACAGTAGTTTGAGTCGTGTCAAGAAGTCAAGTAGGACTCAGTACTAGGCAGTAGTAGAACGTGAGTGGTAGTCTTTGCCGATTTTTGAGGGTATCCAGTGGCGGATCCAGGATTTCGCCGAGAAGGGGCCCAAGGTATACGCCCCCCCCCCCCCCCCAAACAAAACAAAACAACAACGACTAAGTCCCGAAGTTGTGAAGAGCTGCTGTATTCCATTCTCACGACATTTTCAAACTGGACTGGAAGTGTTGTCAAGCTGTGGTGTAACTCAGGCATTAGGGCGACACTACTCTACTAGTACTAGCAGGTATTTGTATGTTACAAAGTTACCACAAATATACATGTAATATTCCGTCGCTAGAACAGTGCTAATACTCTCAGTGGGCTTGGCGTGCAAACCGGAGACCCAGGCAGAGAACTGTCACTGGAGGAATGACTTGAAATGACTTCACATTCAGGAGCAGGTTCGGGTAATGTCGCAAGTGCAGGAACATTTCCACTCGGCAGCGGCTGCGACGGACCTTTGGACGGCTCTTCAACGCGAGCTCTCTTATCTACCGGTCCACTGAAGAACGACCTGATGTCATACCCTTTCCTCTTCATCGCATATCTGAAGGTAACCCCTTGGCTACAAGCGAAGTAGAGAGAGCGTTTAGTTTCTGACAAGTGAAAAAGAAAAAGGAAGGACGAAGCCGACAGCACGGTGCGCCGTACAGGACTTCAGCCCAACGCGATCGCTGCACTAGCTGCACTTTGTACCAGGCCCTGCATTTTTGGCACGTTTTTCACATGTTTGAAGTGCGGCCGTGTACTCAGGTCGCAGTGCGTACTGTAGTTGTACACAGCGTGCTGGCTAGTGCGTGACACCGGACGGATAAGTACCCAGCACGCGTGACCCACTTGACACGCCAAGTCATTTCGAGCGCTCATTCTACAGTCTACCTGGTCTACTGTAATCCTACATGTAGACCAAGGTCGAAATTTTCAAAGGGGGGGGGGGCCCAGGCCCCCTGGGCCCCCCCCCCTGGATCCGCCACTGGTATCCTGGATTTGGTTTGCAGCGCTGTGGAAATGGCTTGCTGTGGAGGTCCCAGCACTGGATGTTGTATCAAAGGTACGACCTCGTAGCACGCCCTAAACCAAAAAAATTGACTTGGGTCTGTGGGAGTCTGTGAGAGAACGCTAGGCATGGGCGGGTAATGCTAGCATTATGGCTGGCATTATAGTCCCTTTTTTCCAGGTGGCATAATGCTGGCATTATAACCATTTCGCATGCAAAATTGGCATTTCAAGCATAATTGCTGGTCGACAACGGTGTCATGCATGAAGCTGGCTAGGTCCAGTTCCGAAAATCAGGCATCTGAACCCGTCCGGCTTCGTCCGGAGACTTGACGTTGCAAATCAACCTTCTCAGTGGATTGTTTCAGACAGCATGCTCACTGCTGTTTAAATTTTTTCTTCCACGCTTTGGCCTTGATCCAAGATGGCCTTCTTAAATCGACTTTTCCAACTTTCAAACTGGCATTATGGAGTAGTGTGAGCATTATAAGTGGCATTATATCTTCATATTATTAGCATTGCCTTTAGCATTATCGCAGCAAATAACTAGCATTACCCGCCCATGCCTAGAGAACGCCCACTCGTGCCGTTGTCACAGATTCCAGGGCCACGTTGAGGGGCCCTATCCCACCACCCATGGCTGCTTCTGGACTTTTTTAGGTTTGGATCCCGCGCACGGACAGAATGGGCAAGAATATGTGAAAAAAATTGTAAACGCCATTTTTGGCTCCTGGGTGGCTCGCACACCGTGGCATTATGCCGGAATTTTGAGTTTTTCCGGCCTGGAAAGCCTGTCAGTGAGGTGCACGAACTTTTAAATCATGTCCAGAGGGCTAGCATAGTGGCAGGAGTGTGTGGTGAAAAATTCACTCAAATCCATTGAGAGACACCAAAGTTACGGTCAATTGAATGCCATATGAAATTTATGACCATGCTGCTACAAAGTTTAGAGTCAGGGGTCGAATGAGGTATCAGTGGAAAGAGTGTGTTCAGAACTTTATTGTGTAGAAAATTGTGTAACTTTGGTGTCTCTCAATGGATTTGAGTGAAAGTTTCACCACACACTCCTGCCACTATGCTAGCCCTCTGGACATGATTTAAAAGTTCTTGCGCCTCACTGACAGGCTTTCCAGGCCGGAAAAACTCAAAATTCCGGCATAGTGCCACGGTGTGCGAGTCACCCAGGAGCCAAAAAAATACATTTACAATTTTTTCACATTTTCTCGACCATTCTGTCCGTGCGCGGGATCCAAACCTAAAAAAAGTCCAGAAGCAGCCATGGGTGGTGGGATAGGGCCCCTCAACGTGGCCCTGGAATCTGTCACAACGGCACGAGTGGGCGTTCTCTCACAGACTCCCACAGACACCAGTCAATTTTTGAATTTTTTTAGGTTTAGGGCGTGCTACGAGGTCGTACCTTTGATACAACATCCACAGCAAGCCATTTCCGCAGCGCTGCAAACCAAATCCAGGATACCCTCAAAAACCGGCAAAGACTACCACTCACGTTCCACTACTGCCTAGTAGTGAATCCTACCTGACTTCTTGACACGACTCAAACTACTGTTACTTGCCAAAGTCACTAAATCAATGTCAACTACAATAATCAAGCCACATATCTGCAACGTGACGACGGTGCTGGCAAAAGTCCTACTGCACGGCGGCGGGCAAAACCTGCTGCCGTGCAGCCCAATACATCGCTAAAAAACGTGATTTTTGGACTTATTAAAAGCAAAATTCTGCACACTTTCGCGTGTTTCCATGATACGACAAGTTGCGCACAGTCTGCTCAGATTCAAATACAGTGCTGCCAAAAAATGACAGCGTGCAACAAAAAAATCTTTCCTTGCAAGGGCACATTTTCGGCCATAACTCTTGAACGGCTGGTCAGAGGTCGAGACCAAATTTTCAGAGATTTTGCAGCTGTCACGGCCGCGCTTGGCGGGTTTGTGACTTGGCTTAGATCAGTCTAGTGGCTACCCAGGTAGACGACCAATATAGTCGCCATCCAAGTTGCTAGCTCACATAGAACGACAGGTTTCTAATTCCACTTGAACAGTGTTTATTTGAACCATTGCAGTACTAGATCGAAAGATCAAGTGTGTAGAGTCAAAAGACCAAAGCAGGAGAGAGTCGGAGTGACTCTCTCAGAATCGAGAGGAGTAGTGAGCTCCCCGAGAATCGAGGATGAATGTTAGCAAAACAGCTCCTTATATATGCTACATTATGTGATCAAAAGTATACAGTGGCAAGAATGCGTAAGGATTATTTCTATATTACAACAGTGGTGCAATATGTGCAATCAGCCAAACTAGAATATAGTACAAAGAATGATCAATCAATACGGGGAGCTCGCTCACCCACTTTACATGAAAGGACTCCGAGGCTCTGGAGTATGCTGTCGGAAGTTGCTGCAGCTAGAGCACGCCGCCTCCGTATGCTGCCTTGGTCGTTGGTCACCCTTC